CATGGCGCAGCACAGCTTGACGGGGGCTGGGTGGTTGAGGCTGGGTCCCTGTTGCCACTCATCTGCAGCATCCTGTGGGCTGGCAGCTGTGTGGAAGGAAGCAGGACCTGAAGGAGCCCAGAACAGGGACTAGGGATGGGAGTGACCATACAGCAAGGGTGGCAATGGGGGTGATGGGGGAGTGGGAGAACCATCTTCTGACCCCCCACCCTGCTCTGCCCCACCCAGGCAATGGAGAGCAAGCTGCTCATTGGTGGCAGGACCATTGTGGACCACACCAACGAGCAGCAGAAGATGCTGGAGCTGAAGCGGCAGGAGATCGCTGAGCAGGTAATGGGGGTGGGCTGACCTTGCTTAGGTGGGTGATGGGGGTGTCCCAGGGGGTCTGGTTTCCCCTCCCGTCTCTGAGCATTTCGCCTGCCCTGCAGAAACGCCGGGAGCGGGAGATGCAGCAGGAGATGCTGCTGCGGGACGAGGAGACCATGGAGCTGCGGGAGACTTACACCTCGCTGCAGCAGGAGGTGGAGATGAAAACCAAGAAGCTGAAGAAGGTGAGAAGGTGGCAGGTGGGGACAACCTGAGGAGAAGGACTTGGGGATACTGGGTGATGAGAAGCTCATGATGAGGCAGCACCGTGCGCTGGCAGCCCAGAAACCACCCATGTCCTGGGCTGCATCCCCAGCAGTGTGATCTGCAGGGTCAGGGAGGGGATTGTTCCCCTCTGCTCTGCTCTGGTGAGACCCCCTGCTGTGCTGAGGTCCCCAGCACAAGGAGGACATGGAGCTGTTGGAGCAAGTCCAGAAGAGGCCATGGATTTGATCCAAGGGCTGGATCAGCTCTGCTCTGGAGACAGGCTGAGAGAGTCGGAGCTGTTCAGCCTGGAGAAGAAAAATCTCTGGGAGGACCTTAGAGCACCTTCCAGTGCCTGAAGGGGCTATAGGAAAGCTGGGGAGGGACTTTTGGCAAGGGCAGGGAGTGATGCGACAAGGGGGAACGGTTTCAAGCTGTAAGGTCTAGTGGGAGGTGTCCCTGCCCATGAGAGCTGGTTGGGACAGGGTGATCTTTAGGGTCCCTTCCAACCCAAAATCATTTGGTCACTCCATAACGTTCCCTGTGCTGCGGGAGGCCCGGGGGGGCCCCAGCCCCGAGGAGCAGGGGGCTGAGGGGCTGCTCCTCTCTCTCCCCAGCTCTATGCCAAGCTGCAGGCCGTGAAGGCTGAGATCCAGGACCAGCACGACGAGTACATCCGTGTGCGCCAGGACCTGGAGGAGGCCCAGAACGAGCAGACACGGGAGCTGAAGCTCAAGTAGGTGGTTGTCGGTCCCACGTGCCCAGGCACAACTGTACTAGGGTGTGCAGGGAGGAATTGGGGTGCACAGGGCAGAGCTGAGGTGCACACAGCAGAGCAGGGTGGCAGCCAGCAAACCGGGCAGTGTTTTTCCTCCAGGAACCTTGCAGCAAGAGATGCAGCTGCTGCTCTGCTGCTCTTAGTGAGCTTGCTTTCACTTAAAGCAATTGGGGTTTTTTCTGTCTTTAAAATATTCCCACCCAGCCATATGTATATTTTAGCATTTTCAAGATAAAATATCTTTACTAGATAAAAGATAAAACTTTACTAGAGACAAAATTTCTTCTCAACTTGTACTGCCCTTCTCTTCAAAAATGGTTCAGACTTTTAAAAAGCCACCAATTCAGCAGCTCAAAACCATTTTCTGCAGCTGCTCAATTTGTCCCCCAAAAATATGAATTAAAAAGAAAGTTCCCCTCAGGGTCCAACCTGAGAAACCTGGTCTGGTTGAAGATGTCCCTGCTCACTGCAGGGGGTTGGACTAGATAGCCTTTAAAGGTCCCTTCCCCCCCAAACCATTCTGAGATTCAGTGACTCTGTGAGTCTATAACCTCTCAATTTGCATCATGTCTCCACCTTCTGGACATTTCCTGGTGTCTGCCTCTCTTCCTGACATCCCTTTCCTCTCCCTTTCCGACCTGTTTTCCATCACTTCTCACATCATCTCCTTTCTTTCCTGCTCCCTCCCACCCCCTTGCTCCTGCTCTCTCTCTCTCTTGGCTGGTCACTTGCTCAGGTACTTGATCATCGAGAACTTCATCCCACCAGAAGAGAAGAACAAGATCATGAACCGTCTGTACTTCGATGGCGAGGAGGACCAGTGGAAGTTCCAGCCGCTGGTGCCCACTGGAGGGTACGTCCCCAAACCCAACCCACACTCGGCCCCACAGCTGCCAGAACTTCTGCATGTCAGGAAGGGATGTCCCCAGGGATAAGGGGAACATCAGGGACTCCCCAGTGCTTGAGGTTGCAAATAGGTGGAAATCCTCTCCAAGCCAAGACCCACTGGGAAGGGCCACCTTTCCCTCACTGTAGACAAGCTCTGTTCATCATTGTTTGGATGCATTTTTAGTAGGAATTTATGTCCTCTAGTACATGTTCCTCTCTGTTTTAGGAACAGCAACCAAATGAAGAAGCGGCCTACCTCTGCAGTGGGGTACAAGAGACCCATCAGCCAATATGCCCGTGTGGCCATGGCCATGGGATCTCACCCTCGGTACCGGGTAAGTGAGAGGGCTCTGGTGGGTATCAGGGAGAGAAGAAGTCACTAGATAAATGGGATGGATAAATGGATGAATGGGATGGATGGATGGATGGATGGATGGATGGATGGATGGATGGATGGACAAAGGGAGAGAAGATGGAGAAAACAAGCTCAGGATGATTTGAGATACGTCAGATGAAGCTTTACCCTCCCACTTGGCAGGATAGGTGGCCATGCTCTCAGCTGGTCCTTGAGCTTGGCTCACTGGCTCTGGCAGCTCCCACCACTTGAGAGGACACAGGCATCCAGCCTTGCCTGCTGGACTCAGGCCCAGGAAAGACCAGAAGAGCCCAAGGAGAGAAGAGAACCTGAGCTCTGGTTTGGAGCTTGCCATGAGGCTGCAGCAGCCAGAGGAAGTCCTGCTCCCTCTCATGCTGGTCAGCTTCTCTCAGCAGTGTGGACACTGTCCCGGGTTGCCCAGAGAAGCTGTGGCTGCCCCATCCCTGGAAGTGCTGAAGGCCAGGTTGGATGGGGCTTGGAGAATCCTGGCCTAGAGAGTGGTGTTCCTGCCCATGGCAGGGGGCTGGGACTAGATGATCTTTAAGGTCCTTTCCAACCCAAGCCATTTGGTGATTCTATGACTTGCTGGAAATGGTGCTGTGTTTTGCTGTGTGGTGACTCCTCATATTGGCTTTCCCTTTGCCCTATCCTGCCACAGGCTGAGAACATCATGTTCCTGGAGCTGGACCTGTCCCCTCCAGCCATCTTCGAGTTTGAGCGAAGCAGGGACCAGGCAGAGCAGGACCCCCGAGCTCTCCACCTCGAGAGGCTGATGCACCTGGACAGCCTCCTGGAGAGGCCAGCAGCCTCCCGAGTGAGGAAGTCCCGCTCTTGGTAAGTGCTGGTGGGGACATGGTGTGGCTGGGAAGCTCCAAGCAGGGGCTTGGGGCAGGCGAAGGGTCACAGTGGAGCTATGAGCCACCCATGCCTTCTGGCATTGAAACTAGTCAGGAGTTGTTGGGATGTGATCAGATTTTAAAATACAGCTTTGGTAAAGGCTGTTAGAAGAGTTGGATGATGGTGTCGTGTATCATCATACACTGCATAGGAAAGACATGGAGCGAGTCCAGAGGAGGCCACGGAAATGATCCAAGGGCTGGAGCAGCTGTGCTCTGGAGACAGTCTAGGAGAGTTGGGGTTATTCAGCCTGGAGAAGAGAAGGCTCAGGGGAGAATTTATTGTGGCCTTCCAGGGTCTGATGGGGCTACAGGAAAGCTGGGGAGGGACTTTTCACAAGGGCAGGGAGTGATGGGATGAGGGGGAAGTGTTTCAAGCTGCAACAAGGGAGACTGAGATGGGATCTGTGGAGGAAATTCTTTGCTGTGAGGGTGGTGAGACACAGGCCCAGGTTGCCCAGAGCAGCTGTGGCTGCCCCATCCCTGGCAGGGTGGAAGGCCAGGTGGGATGGGGCTTGGAGCCACCTGGTCTAGTGGGAGGTGTCCCTGCCCATGGCAGGGGGTTGGGACTATATGGTATTTAAGGTCCCTGCCACCCCAAACCATTCTCTATTTGATGATATATCCCAGATGGGAAGACATAAGGTATCGTCCTGCCCCACACTGGGTGTTCTTTGATGCTGCCTGCACAGCACATGACTGAGAAAACGTCAGGATTTTGGGAAGAGCAGGAGGCAGGGGGAGGGAAAGGAGAAGGAAACCAGGCTTTCTCCATTTGTCCCCCCCTGCAGGTGCCAGACGCCTCGGTCACTGCCATCCTCAACCACGCATGTCTCCCTCACCTCCAGCTCCCCATGTGCCACCACGATGCCAGCTCAGGAGTGACATCCCTGACCCCCTGGTCCCCTCCTCAGCAAGGACTGAGCCCTGTTGAGGGCCGAGGAAGGGGCCCCAGCGGCAGCATCTCCACCGCTCTCAGTTGGTCCTTGTCTTCAGCTACTTTGTGTGCGCGTGTATTTGTGCCAGACGCTCACGAACAAGCCCCCAGGGCGAGGGGAGCTGCCCCCTCCTTCCTCCTGCCCCACCCCCCGCCCTTTTTCCCCCAAATCTGGATCTGTCCCTTTATTTATTTAACGTATTTATTTATGGAGTGGTTGATGTGCAGAGGCAGGAGGCGCATTCAGACTGGAGGACATCCCGGGGTGGACGCGGGCATCACACCAAGGGCTCCTTGGGTGGGCTCAGCTGCTGCCATGGCCCCTGTGCCAGGCTGGGACACGGGGACACCACTGGGGCTGTCACCACTGGCGTACTGCCCACTGGAGTGCTCTGCAGAGCAAACAGGGGAAGGCACGTGCCCAACTCTGGTGGCTTTGGCAGAAGGTGAGGCAGCCCTCGAGTCTGGTGCTGTGTTTGCTTTGCTGGATCACAGGGAACATGGTGATTTCTACAAGGATTTGGAGACTTCATGGTGGCGACACGTTGCACTGGGCTTGTCAGAGGCCCAGAGGGACTCTCTAGTCTGCATCAGCACTGGTGGCAGCAATGATGTCTCACTGACTTCTGGGCATGGCTGTCACTCCAGGAACATCAGTTCCATCCAGGGCTCACAGATCCACCAAACCAAGTCAATCCTGGTGGTGCCAGGACCTTTTTCACCTATGCCGCTCTCTGGAGGTGGTTGACCCTGTCTTGTTCAGTCACCTGACACCCAGCTTGCTCCTGTTCCTGACTAAGTGGATGGTTAACTCCTTATGGCAAGAAGAGGAGATGGAAATCTCCATCCTTTTCCACCCACCCCTCCCAAAGACACACATGGTCTGGGGAGCAGTGCTACCTCAGTGAGACCAGAGGTGATGGTGTCCACCATCGTGGCAACCAAAGGCAATGAAGAAATGCAGGACAAGATGGTGATGCCTGGAGGAATTATTTCAAAATCACTGTCCTCTGGGTTGAGTAATACCTCCTTGAGGTCACCTCATAGTTGGGAGAACTTTCCTGATGATTGCTTGGGTCATGGAGGGATGGACATGAAACGGGTAATGAATAAGAGGGGAGCACTTTGGCCATCTGAAACCCAACCTAGTCAGCAGCAGCACATGTAGGTGCCAGGACATCACTCAGTGTTCCTGGGTGATTCAGCTTTCAGCAGTTAGGTTGAGGGAAGGTGAGTCCTTGTTGAGGACCATCCCTGGCAGCACCAGGCAGCAGCTGTGGTTTCCCTGGGATGGCTTCAGGATGTGCAGAGGTGGGGAAGATCTGTTTGCTTGACAAGGTCCTAAGCCCCATCCCTGGAAACATTCCAGGTCAGGTTGGACAGGGCTCTGAGCAGCCTGATCGAGTTGAAGATGTTCCTTACTATGGCAGGGGGGTTGGACTAGATGGCCTTTAAAGGTTCCTTCCCACCCAAACCATTCTGTAATTCCATGAATGGGGGAGTGACCCCTTGACCCATATGGGAGGGTACAGGCTTTCAGAGGGACACAGGCTGAGGGCATTCCTGGAGAAGGCAGATCTGAGATTATCTTCTGATGTCTCTTAGTGATGAAGAGAATTTCTTCTGCTGGAGGACTCCTCATTGCTTGCTTCAATGACGCCTGCATGCAGGTCCTGGGGTGAGGGAGGGAGAGGGCATGAGGCACACAGAGCAGAAATATCTCGAGCAGAAACAGCTGTGTATGCTGCAGAGCAGTGCAAGTCCCACCCTACAGGAGCATTCCATCAACATGCTTCATGGGACATGGTCTAGTGTTTGACTTGACAGTGCTGAGCTAATGGTTGGACTTGATGATCTTAAAGGTCTTTTCCAACCAAAACAATTCCATGATTCTGTGAGGCTGGGCTGGGACATCCACAGACCTTCCCACCCATCTCCTGACATGTCCCCTGCTTTGCCAAGGGGTATCTTCTCTCCATCCCCTGTAACATTGACCTGCCTTATGTTCTTGATCATTGCCCTCTGCCACCATCTTCCCTTCCCCTCCTGTGCCTGATAACACCTTCTGCCTCTCCAGAATCTTTGTCCTGTTCTCCCCGACCCCAGCAGCTGGCTTGTAGGTGATTCTGGATGCTGCAGGTTGCTCCCAGGACTGAGCTTACTCCTTTCAAGCAGCACCCAAGTCTGGTCTGTTCTCAACCTGGGAAGGAGGGTGCAGGAGAAAGGGTGTTCTTGAGATGGGTCCCTTCCATGGCTTGGGCTGAGCTTTCTGTGCATCCATGTGCATTCCCTGGAGCGAGCTGGCTTTGGCCCCTCGAAAAGTGGGGAATGAGGGACCTGGTTCTTTATTTCATTTTCAGAGTGGCCTCTGGGAGTCAGGGTCAGGAAGCACAAGCCTCAGAAAGGGGAGAAGCTGCCTGCAGGAAAACATTTTCTTCCCTTGTTTTCTAATTACCCCAAGTTCATCTCCAGCTGGATTAGCAGCTCCTGGAGCCCTGAGGTGATGAACCAGTGACAGTCTGCTTTACCTCCATTCTCTACCCAGGGCTGATGGTGTCCTCTGGTTCCTGCTGGCTTGCCCCAGGCCATGGAGTTTCATGTTGAAGGGTGGTTGTGCTCTGGTCTCTCACCACATGCATGGTCTTCATCTGTGTCACAGCAAAGGACATGCTGAAGTCCAGCAGCACTATGGCCAGAGTGGGATCCATGTGGAAGCCCTTCCAGCAGAGCACAGCATGGGTGTGCAAGCACCCAGTGCAGGGGATGGGCTGAGCCACTTCCAACATCCAAGTGCCACTTGTGTCACATCCATCACGTGGGTCTGTCGATCTCCTGCGCTCCCGCCCTGTCTCTCCTCACTGCTGCCAACAACCACCCAACTTCCTTAGCACAAACCCCAAGGATGGTTCTATCTCCGAGGCTGGGCGAGCTCATGGTGGCCTGTTCCCTTCTTCTCAGATGGCCCCACAGCCTCTGGCCTGGCAGCAGCATCCTCAGATGTACATTTGTAATGTTCCGCGGTCTTCGTATGTCGGTGCGTGTGTATTTACATATGAGTGTGTGTGTAGGTGTGTGTGGGCACACGTGTGTGTAGCCAAGGGATCTATTTACTGTCAATGTGAGTGACTGTACAGGGGGAATATCCCAGGAGGGGGGGAATGGTTACTGGGGCTTTTATTTTTTTGTTGTTGTTGTCGTTGTTTCATTGTTTAGTTAATTTTGGGTTTCAGGTTTGGGCATTATTTTTGTTTCAGGAGGGGGTGGGTTTGGGGCTCTTTTGGATTGATTGACAAGGTGAGGGCCTTGATTAGGACCAAATTTTTGTGCCTGTTGCTCTGGTAATTTATTTAGAAATCAAAAGTTTACTGTATGGTGGCCCATCCTTGTCACTCTATACATATGAATATACAGGACATATTATAAATATATATATATTATACATACTGTATGGAGAGAGGTCATTAATCTCACACCCCCCTGGCTTTGGATGGACACCTCTTCAATATGCTGTAACGTAGCTTTGACCCTGTGCTGGGAACGACCAGAAAGTGCCAGCACCTTTCAAAAAACTGGCAATGGCACCAATAAAAGAATGAGCATCACTGCAAAGGGCGTCTGCAGCCTTCTTCATCCACTGGCATCCTGGTGCCACAGCTGATCCATTCATCCCAGTAAGTGCAGCTCTTCATCACCCACCCTGCTCAGGGGCAGCTTTGGGGCTTTGTGTGATTGGAGATAAGGATTTGGGCTCCTTCACTGATGCTTGCCTGCCTGGATTTCTCTGTGTGTTTCTCCTGTTTAGTATAGGATAGAGCTTTTGTACTAAAACAACTGTAACTTGTAGGAAGCTCCACTGGGAGACTCCACCACCTTGCAGAGGACGCCAAGCTGGGTGGGAATGTTGATCTGCCTAAGGATAGGAAGCCTCTACAGAGAGACCTGGAGAAGCTGGATCAGTGGGTTGAGGTTCTGCAGATGGATCTGGACAGGCTGAATCTATGGGCCAAAGCCAATTGTATGAGGTTCACCAAGGCCAATTGCTGGGTCCTGCATTTGGGTCACACCAACCCCAGTCATCCCCCCGAGCTTGGGGAAGAGCAGCTGGAAAGTGCCTGGCGGAAAAGGATCTGGGGGTGTTGGTCACCAGTGGCTGGATATGAGCCAGTGTGTGCCCAGGTGGCCAAGAAGGCCACGAGCACCCTGGCTTGTATGAGCACTAGTGTGGCCAGCAGGCCTAGGACAGGGATCATTCCCCCATGCTAGGCGCTGGTGAGGCTGCACCTCAAATCCTGGGGTCAGTTTTGGGTCCCTCACAAGAAGAAGGACATTGAGGGGCTGGAGCATGTCCAGAGAAGGGCAGTGGAGCTGGGGAAGGGTCTGGAGCACAGGTCTGATGAGGAGCAGCTGAGGGAACTGGAGGAGTTCAGCCTCGAGGAAAGGAGGCTGAGGGGAGACCTTCTCACTCTCTGCAACTCCCTGAAAGGAGGTTGGAGCCACTGGAGGATCGGTCTCTTCTCCCAAGAAACAAGCAATGGGAAAAGAAGAAACAATCATGGGGATGGTGGTTCCTGCAGAGGAAGGAGTGAAGAGTGTGTGGGGAAAAGCAAAATAAAGGAATCAAAGTTAAACTGAATACGTTATTTCATGGATGCTTCCCTATGCACCAGGGAGTGAGTGATAATACCAGAGGAAAAAACTAACCATGCAATGATTTTTTTTTTGCTTCGGTCTTCATTTAAAAGGTCAGTTGTGATTAGATGAGTAACAATAAATGTCAGAGAAAATAGGCTGAAGACTCAGTCTAAAATAAGAAAACGGTAGGTTAAGGGTTTCTTATATTTGCTGGATGTTTCCACATCAGCTGCATCTGATTTAATTCACATTGGCACACGCAGGGAAGTGGGTAAAGCAATTTTGGAGCTGCAGGTGAGGGGTTTTGAAATCTCAT